GGGACTCCTCTCCAGGCTGGTGTTTGGGATGACCTATGGCACTGGCATGTCCCCAAATTGTCCTGTCCATCCCATGCTCCACTGACACCAGGCTCTGGCAGGGTCCTTGTGGGGTGGCCTTGCCCTTGTCACCTGGAACCCAGGCTCCCCTTGCTCCTGTCCTCACCCAGTCTGGGGCTGCTGGTGGGACCCTGCGAGGTGCTGAGGATCGAGAAGGAGACTTGGATCCTCCTGCAAAGGGAGAGACAGGATTCACCAGGAGCAGTCAGCCCCAGCACTGTGGTCCCTGGGCCTGCCTGAGGGTGACAGAGCTGGGGCAGGGGAGCTCCTTGGCTCCCTGTCACGGGAGGGGGACAGAGCTGAGGCAGGGGGGCTCCTTGGCACCCACCTCCAGGTGCTCCCGGTGCACAGAGCACCCACAGCTGTTGCTGTGAGCCAGAGGAATTTATCTTTTTAGGCGTTATGGTGGAGGAATAGGAACACATCCATTCTCCTCCTCGAAGAGAACTCATGCTCCTCTTCCCACTGCAGAGAGGGATCCCCATTCCCCTCTCCTAGAGGACTCAGTGGGATCTGGTTTGGACAGGGGCAAAGCACCAGCTCAAGGAGCCATGGGACTGAGAACATTCCTAATTTCCCATCACTGATTCATAGATTATCATTTACTGGCACTTTGGAGTAGCACAGGAGAAAGCTTTGCAAAAATCTGATGAAAGGGCAAAACCAGGTGCTCAGAATCCCATTTCTAAGGCAATTTTCATTAAAAGACACGAGCTCAGGATTTCAGCTCTCTCAGGTTGGCAGTGCTGGGCCATTTATTCCATTGAGCAGGAGCACTCTCCTGACTCAGCAGCATGGGCAGTCTGGGATCCATCCTCTCTCCCTGACTGCAGGAGCACTGGGATCGTGGGATCCATCCTCTCCTGATTGCAGGGAGCCTGGGACCCATTCTTCCCTGACTGCAGGAGCACAGGGAACCTGGGATCCATCCTCTCCTGATTGCAGGGGCACCAGGAACCTGGGATCCATCCTCTCCTGATTGCAGGAGGTCTGGGATCCCTCCTCCCCTGATTACAGGGACACCAGGAACCTGGAGTCCATCCTCCCCTGACTGCAGGATCCTGGGACCCATCCTCCCCTGATTGCAGGGGCACCAGGAACCGGGGATCCATCCTCTCTCCCTCATTGCAGGGAGCCTGGGATCCATCCTCCCCTGACTGCAGGGAGCCTGGGATCCATCCTTCCCTGACTGCAGGGGCACCAGGAACCTGGGATCCATCCTCTCCTGATTGCAGGAGCGCTGGGATCCATCCTCCCCTGCGTGCAGGAGCACAGGGAGCCTGGGATCCATCCTCCCCTGCCCGCAGGGGTGCTCCCGAGGGATGGATCGCTCCCTCCCGGCGCTGTTTCCCGGCGCTGTGTCCCGCTGGCAGGAGCACTCACGCCTGGGATTACAGATGCATCAAATCCCCGTCACGTTTTCGCGTGTGCTTGCTGCGCGGTTGGGGAAATTTCCGCCGCCCCGCTCGCCCCGCTGGGATGGGTTTGGGGCTGGGAGAGGGATGGAAATGGAGCCGGGCTCTCCTCACCGAGAGGCGAGGTGTGAAATTTCTCATGGGCAAACCAGTGAGAGCTGCGGGGTGCCCAGAAGAAGGGGGACAGAAAAGATGAAGCGGGGAGGGGGGGGAATGAGGAGGAGGAGGAGGAGAGAAAGCAGTAGCCAGGGAGAAACAAAAATCCCTAAAGCACCAACCTGGATTGAAGAGTGGGGCGTTTTCTATGGGGGGATTGTAAAATGCGCTCTCTCTTTCCCCTTGGCAGGGGGAAAAAGGGCCCCCCCTCTATCTGATAGTCATTAGCATCAATTAGCCCCGTTTGAAGTAGGCAACATCTTTGTCTCTTTGCAAAAAAAGAAATAAAAAAAACCTTTCAGGGAGCCCATAATAACATCTGGAGCAGGAGAGGCTGAACTGAGTTCCCCACTTTCATCTCTTGTCAAGGGACTTGGAATGTTAATGCAGCCTCATTCTTTAATGGAGTTATCAGGAAATGCTTTTCACCTCCTTCCCTTTGCTCAGGGGGGATGTTTACAAAGGGCTGGGGACTTTTTGGGGGGCTTTTTGGGTTGTTGTTTTGTTGTTGGGATTTTTTTTACCCCTTCTCTAAGAAACTCCCCCTAAGAGATCCCCCCCCATTCCCCTTTTATTTTCTACACTCTTGAAAAACAAAACAGGAATAAAATATAATGAATAGAATAAAGTGAATAAAATAAAATAAATAAAATAACCACCACCAGAAAACCAAAGAGGATCAGATCCCACCCTTTCATGTCCCCTCTCTGGAGGGTCTGGGGTCGGTGGCTGGAGCAGGTGTGGGCAGGGGAGGTGGGGGGTCCTGCCCAGAGCCCCCCGCCCCGCCTGGCTGCTGGGTGCTACATTTCCCAAGTCATTACCAGCGGGTGAAAATTTCCAGCTTTCCCACCAAAATGCATTAGCTGAGCACACAGCACTAATGGGAAACAGGACACGTCATTAGGCACCGGCTGTGGGTGAGCACGAGGAGGGAAGGGAAAAGTCAGCTGGGCTTTGGCTGCTGGGGCATCCCTCGGTCCATCCCTGTGGTTCTCTGTCCATTCCAGAGGCTCCCTGTCCATCCCAGCAGTTCCCTGTCCATCTCTGCAGCTCTCTGTCCCTCCCAGCAGTTCTCTGTCCATTCCAGAGTCTCTCTGTCCATCCCAGAGTCTCCCTGTCCATCCCAGCAGTTCTCTGTCCATCCCAGTGGCTCCCTGTCCATCTCTGCAGCTCCCTGTCCATTCCAGAGTCTCTCTGTCCATCCCCGTGGCTCCCTGTCCATCCCAGAGTCTCCCTGCACATCTCAGCAGCTCCCTGTCCTTTCCAGAGTCTCCCTGTTCATCCCTGTCGTTCCCAGGCCATCCCAGCAGCTCCCTGTCAATCCCTGCAACTCCCTGTCCATCCCTTTGGCTCCCTGTGCATCCCTGCAGCTCCCTGTCCTTTCCAGAATCTCTGTCCATCCCAGCAGCTCTTTGTCCATCTCTGTGGCTCCCTGTCCATCCCAGGGGCTCTCTGTCCACCCCAGCAGCTCCCTGTCCATCCCAGCAGCTCCCTGTCCTTTCCAGAGTCTCCCTGTCCATCCCAGCAGCTCCCTGTCCATCCGTCTGTCCCCCCATCCTGCCAGGGGGATCCATCAGTGTCCCTGCCCTGCCTGCAGCTCGCCCATCCCAACTCCAACACAGATCCTTTGATAACTGCAGCAGCGCTGACATTGCTTTCCCTGGGAATCACAGCACCAGTCAGGACTTAAAAAGAGCAAAAATCATGAATGGATTTAATAACCTTTTAATAACCCCAATCCTCACCTAATGACACCCATGTTCAGTCCCACACATCCTCTGTGCCAGCAAAACCAGGAGCTGTGAATCTCTGAGGATGTTTTATTTTCCCAAGGTGACTTTTTTTGGGAGAGGCTTCAGCACTCACCCAGCTTTGAACGTGTGATTCCAATTAAGGCTGTGGCTCCACGGCAGCGGGATCAGAGCTGCCTGTTTGGATAAGGAGCAATAAAGCAGCAGCTGTATTTATTCACTTATTTGGAAGCTGCTGGGGAAGACAGGATGCTAAAAGGCAGGAAAAAAAATGTGTTTTAAAGGCAAACTTCAGGGACTCTTTTGTCTCCTGTGGGCATCCTCCTCCCTGAGGATCTTGTAGCCATCACCAGGGTGCTTCCTCATGAGCAGGATAATCCTGCCTGTGTATTCCCATCTGCTTTGAAATGCTCAAAAATACAGAGATGTTTGTAATTATTTCTATGCATTGTGCAGGGAAAAGAAACTTTAAATGGCATGAATGCCTGTTTAAGGCAGGATTTACTGGATATGGCCCGTGAGCTTGTGCATGCAGGGATGGCTAATGCCAGGTTATTAAACCACAGGGGATTTTTGCTCTGTGTTTATTAACCTGGAGACTCCGGGGCTCCTCTGTGTTTGTACACATCAGAGTGAATTTCCAGTGAGAATTTGGTGGGATTTGAGCAGGAACCCCACCTGGGAGCGATGTCTGTGCCATCCACAGCTCCCTATCAGCCATGTGGCTGTGCCCAGCTCCAAGGGTGTCACACAGGGATGGCACCAGTTCCATTCCCAGGGCACGGTCACCTCGGATCCTGTATGAGCTCCTGAGGCGCTTGTCCTGTATCCCAGATATTCCCACTCACTGTGGCACACCTGGGCAGGTACAGACACATTCCCTTGGCACAGGGGCACAATGTGATGTGCTGGCACAGCCTGGGGTCCATAGGCTGAGCCCTGAGAAGGCTCCTGTGAGGCCTGGGGATCTCAGGGGGAGTTTGGGAATGGGACTGAGGGATTGCTTGGGAATAGGACTGAAGGATTGTTTGTGTCCCTGTGGGTGTCCGTGGGGAAGGGATTGGTGCTGGTGTGAGGTGTCCATCAGGAAGGGGTTTAGGCGCTGTTCTGGATGCCTGAGGAAGGAACAGGTGTTGGTTTGGGATCCCTGAGGAAGGAACCATTATCCATAGGGCATCCTTGGGGAAGGAGGGACTGCCAGTGTGGTGATCCATGGGCAAAGAGCACAGGTCACTGTAGGGGAAAATGCAGGGCAGGTGACAGCAGGAAAAGAGGGGTGTCCATGGGGTGCCAGGGCGAAAGGAGCAGTGTCTGTGGGAGTGCTGCCATGGAATGTGGGGTGACTGGGGCTGTCCGTGGGAACAGATGATCCGTGGGGCTGTCACTGTGGAAGCAGGGTTCTCCATGGAGGTGCTGGTGCGGAAGGAGGGGTGTCCATGAAGGAGCTTGAGTGCAAGGAGGGTTTCCATGGGAGCATCGGTGGGGAGGAAGAGGTGTCTGTGTGGGTATTGGGGTATCAGTGGGGTATTGGGAGGGAAGCAGGGGTGTCGGTAGGGGTGTCTGTGGGGAAGCAGGGGTGTCTGTGGGGTGTCGGTGGGGAAGCAGGGGTGTCGGTGGGATGTTGGTAGGGAAGCAAGGGTGTCGGTGGGATATTGGTAGGGAAGCAAGGGTGTCGGTAGTGGTGTCGCTGGCGGCCAACGGGGTGTGTGCAGCCCCCGCCGCCCCCCCGCCGCCGCTTTGCATAGGAGCACGGCTGTCCCCGGCCCCCGCCCTCCATATAAGCGGCCGGGGCTGCGGCGGCCGCACCATCCCGGCCATGCTGCAGAGCCCGGCGTGCCCCCGGCCCGGGCCGCCGCCCTCCAAGACCCCGTTCCACATCGAAGCGCTGTTGGCCCGGGAGCCGCCGCGCCGCGGCCCCGCCGCCCCCGTGAGCCCCGCGCCGCCCGCCCCGCGCTGGCCCCCGGCGGGACCCGCAGCCGGACCGGGCCCGGTGGCGGCAGCGGGGCTGGGACCGCTGCCCGCAGCGTGGGGCTGGCCCTGGCCCTGGCCCGGTGCAGGTGAGAGGGGTCTGTGGGCGGGAGCGGGGCCGGGACGCGGAGCGGGGATGGAGCGCACAGGGACGGGATGCGGGACAGGAATGCGGAGCGGGGATGCCGCGCACAGGGACGGGATGCGGGGCCGGGGTGCGGAGCGAGGATGCCGTTCACAGGGACGGGATGAGGGGTAGGAATGCCCGGCGGGGATGCCGTTCACAGGGACGGGATGAGGGATAGAAATGCCGGGCGCTGGGCCGGCACCCGAGCGGGGAAATAACGGGGTCGGAGTCACCCCAAAGCACTTGGATCCTCGCTGCCGCTGTGGTTTCATCCTGCAGCCTCTGGAGCGGCCCCGAGCTGGGGGGACAGGGACGAGGCAGAGGGAAAACTTTCCTTGGAGTTTTTTTCCCTCTGTAGGTGATCGATATAGCGAGAGCAAAAATTACCGGTTTATGTAGGGGTTTTTGTTTATTTATTTTGCCGGGCAGTTTCTAACACACCTGATGTCTCTGAACAGTTTGGCAAAGAAAGAGCCTGTGGTTGATTCCTGAAGATGCTGCAGGATTTTACTGATCCCTGATTCAGTCCCCAGTCCAGAACCGGGTGCAGAATATCCAAACCCACTGTTTGCATTTGAGATGGAGCCAGAAACTTGGAATAGGTCTAATAGTAAAGGGCAGAGCTAAAACCAGGATTGCAGTGCTTGGGCTAGTGGAAGGTGTTGGAGGGGGAACTGGATGATCTTTAAGGAGCTTTCCAACCCAAAGCAGTCTGTGATTCCATGAGATTTTACGGGTGACTTTACACACGCTGGCATTTATTTCTCCTTTCACATAGCAGGAAGGCACTTCACTGCCAGAGTTTTAATCAAAAACCTGCTGTAATTTCCCAAAGCCTCGCTCCCAAAATTAATTTCTTCACCTCTGCTACTATGTGGGTCCCTCTTCTCCCAAATTTGCCATCATCTCTCTCTAATTTTGCTTTCCCTGCAATTTTTCACTCACAGAAGTGAAACTGCCAAGTGTTTTGCAGCACTTGGCCCTCAAAACTGCATGTTTTTAGTGCAGAAGTATCTAAGGAAAATGTTTTTTGTTGATTTGTGGGTAAAATTTGCACCGTGGTGATGGACAATATTGCCTGATCTGTCAGGATCCATTTTCATTGGAACTTTATAAGGACAACGACCAAGTGTTTTTAATAAAGTATCTCTATTCAGAGTATTTTTCTTGAAGTATTTCTTTTTAGCAGTGAGAGAGTGATCTTGCTGTTGTTCAGGCAAAACCTGCAGCCAGGTTTCCCTGTATATAAAGAACTCCAGATTTGATCCTGATGCTACAATATTCAGGCACTAAAAGCATTTGCTGATCTTTTATTAAGCACTTAGCACAACTATTTAATATATTATTTCTTTCACGAGACAGCATCTGCAGAATTGTGTTAATCTTTGTATTATATCAAATTTCCAGGTATGAAAACACAGTTAAACAATTTGCAGAGAGATTTCCACTCAGCGTTTCATGTTGGAAATTACACGTGCTATTATTCCAGTGTTAAAATAGAAACAAAAAGTGATGGGTGAAAAGATTTTAATGATGAAAATAGTTTAAAGTGCAATTACGGCTGTTAAGCTGTCAGGTCTCCATCCCACAAATCCTTAAACACACGCAGAACTTGCACCCAATTAATGAAAATAAGTAGGTCAAGGTGCAGGTTTGTGCCTGGAGAACGTGACAAGATCAGTCATTAAAGGAGAGATAAGTAGCAGGTGTGAATGGGGATCATTATATGCAGTATTTCCATAAAACCTAGAGAAACCTGGCTTGCCACAATATTTAGGAACAGCAGAGATGGGGACCATTATTGGTCTGATCCTGCCAGTGCTGTTCGGTGCTTTCCACGGGGAAAATCCCACTGGCTGTAATCAGTGGGGTATGTTAAAGTGAATCTGGTGCTGGAGAAGCCGTGGTGCCATCAGTGATGGCTTTCCGTGGCTCCTATGGCTCCTAAACCCTCCAGGCTGTGCAGGGAGCCCTGGAGGAGCTCTGCAGCGCAATCACCTGGGCCTGGAGTCACGGTGGCTGGGCTGGGAAGGGATTTTCAAGGACCTGCCCTGCAGTGAGCAGAGACATCAGCTGGAGCAGGGAGAATGAGGGGCTGGGGAAGGCGAGACCTGCTCTCAGTCAGGTGCCAGTGCTGGTGTTGGATTGTATGTTAATTTATGCTAATTACGGCTGTCCTCAGGCCACAGCTGGAGACCAGACAGGTCAGATACACTTGCAAGTCCTGCTGAATCATCAGCACCCCTGGGAACTTTGTGGGGAACAGAGGTCCTGCATGAAAGCTGGATCCTGGACACTGAGCCCGTGTGCCACGGGAAGGGGAAAACCAGGGGCCAGTCTGGGGTCAACTCCCCCAGACTTTAAACATTTGTGTTTTGGGGGCTTTTGAGACAGAGGTGGGATTTTTGTGTTCTGCAGCTCTGTATGCAATTTATTGTCCTGTTACAAAGGCGCTGTGCAGGCAAACGTCAAGTCCTGCCCACCTCACTGAGTGCTGATTTCTTCGGGCCTGGCTGCATGTCCAGGACTGTCCTTGGTGTATCCTGAGGGTAAAACCACAGAACAGGCTCTCAAAAGCTCTTCTACTCCAGCTTTTCATGGGAAAAGGAGCCTGGATGAGATTATCTGGGTAGGGACAGGGCGGGGACATCTCTGCTTGGTTGGTGCCACTTTCTCCGGCTCCTTTAGTGCAGACCCCTTCAATTTTTGCTGTTTTCTCACAGGTCTAGAATTGTCTCACTGTGTGGGGACCACCCCACTGGGTCCTGCTGGGCCTTGGAGGTCAGGGGGGCCCTGCAAGATGAAGAGAGTGCGCACGGTGTTCAAACCAGAGCAGCTGGAGCGGCTGGAGCAGGAGTTCCTCAAGCAGCAGTACATGGTGGGCACGGAGAGGGTGGACCTGGCTGCAACTCTGCATCTCACAGAGACCCAGGTAAAGGATGGGGGAGCTGAGCTCTGGGACTGATCCTGGGGTGCTCTGTGCTGATGGTCCTGCTGCTCTGTGCTGATCTTCCCACTGGGAAGTGTGGGAGGAGGGCATGGTACAAAGTGATCCATGGGACACCCTGCTGCCAGGTGACATTGGAGAGATGTGCCTGGAGTTTGGATGGTTCCTGGATAAGATTTCTGAATCCATGAAGTAGAACAAAAAGCATTCAGGAGCTCAACTTTGCTGTGCTTTTGAGTTTAAGCTGGGTTGGTTGCTGCGTCTGCATAGTCATGATCCTCTGGAGACTGTTTCAAGTGTCCTTGTATGACACTGGATATATGTAATTATTTCCCTGCTCTGCCCTGTGAGTTCCTGCTCCTCCCACAGTAAGCTGTTTGTTTAGTGTGGAAAGAAGGAGCCAGGTGATCTTCCACAGTGGGCTCTAAATTCAGCTGGGGAGAAGGGAGAGCAAAACAACGCCAGTTCTGGGGGGGACAATGGATAATTATTGGGGGTCTCATCATGGCAGCTGCAGTCCTGGGCATGAGTTCAGGGGCTCCTTAGGGAGCTGCCTCCTTCACTTCCCTGGCCAGAGCCTTCTCAGTGCAGCTGCAGTCCCCTGATCCTTTCCCATCACTGCTCTGCCCTCTGTAGTTTCACCTCCTCCTGTTCTCACTCACTATTTCCTGAGAGAATGATGCACGTCCCCATTTAAGGAACTCCACTTTTTGGGGATACCCACCTCAGAAGCACATGGATTGAAAAGGGCTCCTGGAGCCCTTGGGTTAAGCTGCTGTGCCATTCCCATCCAGGTCAAAGTGTGGTTCCAGAACCGGAGGATCAAGTGGAGGAAGCAGAGCATGGAGCAGAAGGCAGCAAAGCTGTCTCAGTTCGGGGTGATCCAGCCTGCGAGTGCCGACTCCACCGACAGCAAGGAGCACGAGGAGGACCCCGTGGACGTGGAGCTCTGAACAGCTCATGAGACTGGGCTGCTTTTTGGTGCCTGGGGATGTGTCTGGGCTGCTTTGGTCCAAGTGAGACTGATCTGAGAGCTGGAGCCACAGGACTAAACTGCAGCTGGCTGGAAGGAACCCCCCGAATTTCTTTGGCTGCTGTTCAGTAGCCAGGTGCTGTAATTCCTGGGGCTTCATCATCACTCGATGGCACGTGACCTCCTGTTAGCTCATGGAGCACCAGGACACACAAACAGTTTCCAGCATAGAGCCTGGGGTGACAATCAGGATGTCTCTGGTGCTGGGGTGAGAATCAGAGTGACTGATACTGGGGTGACAATCAGGGTGTCTCTGGTGCTGGGGTGAGAATCAGAGGGTGATTCTGATGTTGGGGTGACAATCTGCTGGTTTCTCTGATGTGGGGGTGACAATCAGAGTGTCTCTGGTACTGGAGTGACAATCAGAGGATGTCTCTGGTTGACAATCTCTGGGTGTCTCTGGGGTGACAATCAGAGGGTGACTTTGATGTTGGGGTGACAATCAAAGTCTGTGATGCTGGGCAGGCAATGGGATGCTGTCTCTGATGCCCCTGAGCACAAGGACATTTCAAACCAGGGACACTCATGTTCTGTGTGGCTGTGTGCTCCAAGGAGGAAGGAGGAGAATCTCCCTGATCACTTCCTTCTCTCAGCTTGACTCCCATGTTTGATGTTCAGATCACTCAAACCACAATACCCCAAACAGGGACGCCCTTTGCTGCCTTGCTCAGACTCCTGGATGCGAGGAGCAGGGTCTGCCCCTGCCCTGGAGCAGAAGTGCCTCCTCTGTCAGTGCCTTGTGTACCTGTGCCTTTTCCATGGATCCAGCCCCAGCTGTGTGTGTCCCCTGACCCTGCTGTCCTTACCCAGGGGGTGTGTGTGTGTGTGTGTGTGTGTGCTGCTGTTGTAGGGAGCTGGCCCCAGGGCTGGCTGAGGTGCAGGGCTGGAGGCTGCAGTAAAACCCAGCCCCAACACTCAGCAGCTGCAGCAGACACCCCCTGCCCTGCAACCAGATGTGCCACTGTGGCCCAGACACAGGCAGCTGCTCTGTTCTCTCCTCATTATCCCTGCAGGTGCCCTGGGACACAGCACCTGGAGCGCTCCAAGCACATCTGGAGCAGCCTGATGTGGTTAACAGCTGGATTTTTGGGGGTAGGGAGGGCTTTGGGGGGCCGGGACTAAGGACTCAGGCTGTCACCTTGCCTTCCTATGGCAGTGACCACGGCCCATCAGCTCAGGATAATTTATTCTGTCTCTTTCTGACTTAGAACACTGTATATCACTTTACTCTTACATTGTTATTTATAGAAATACCTTTTTTTTTGCCTTAATATGTGTCACTTATTTATTTGCTTTGTCTCTTGATAAAAATCGAGTTAATTTTAAAAAGAGATGGAATGAGTGTAAAAACAAAAACCAGATGGAAAAATTTCCAAGTACTCACTTTAATTTTCAATTGAAATTAGTACCAAAAAAAATTAAAACACACACACAAAAAGAAAAAAAAAAACAAAAAAAAAAACAACCAAAAAAAACCCACACCAAAAAATCAAACCAAATATATTTTCATCTTTCTCAAAAGAGTTTGAGGTTTTTATCCTTAATAAACTATTTTGGACAAAATATCTATGAAAGATCTTTTTTTCAATTGATTGATGACCCCATATCAAAGCAGATGAAGGGAGTTACTCTCTCTGGACTGGAAACTACATTTTCAGGAAGAGCAGTCATGTCTGGTGACTATGGGGTGCTCAGGCTCCTGGAGAACAAGAATTTGTGTCTGCAGGTGGATGCGACCAAGCCTTTTCTGCAGCTCCTGCTCTGCCAGTCTGAGCAGCATGGCCAGGGAAGGAAACAGAGCTGGGAAGGGGCTGCACAATCCCTGAGGGAGCTGGGAAGGGGCTGGAGAATCCCTGAGGGAGCTGGGAAGGGGCTGCACAATCCCTGAGGGAGCTGGGCAGGGGCTCAGCCTGGAGCAAAGGAGGCTCAGGGGGCCCTTGTGGCTCTGCACAGCTCCTGCCAGGGGGGCACAGCCGGGGGGGTCGGGCTCTGCTCCAGGGAACAGGGACAGGAGCAGAGGAATCCCAGGATCACTGAGGCTGGAAAATCCCTCCAAGGTCACTGAGTCCAAGCTGTGCTTGATCCCCACCTTGTCCCCAGCCCAGAGCTCTGTGCCACCTTCCTTGGACATCTGAGGGGATGGGGTCTCCAAACCTCCCTGGGCAGCCCCTGCCAATGCCCATTCTGCCTCTTTCCATGAAGAAATCTCTGAGGAAATGGCCTCAGGTTGTGACAGAGGAGGTTTGTATTGGATGTTGGGGAAAATTCATTCACAGGAAGGGATGTCCAGCCCTGGCACAGCTGCAGTGGTGGAAACCCCATCCCTGGAGTTTTAAATCCCACGGATTTAAAAGCCGTGTGGATGTGGCACTTGGGGCCATGGCTCAGTTGTGGCCTTGGCAGTGCCAGGGAACATTGGACTCGTTTGTCTTAGAGGACTTTTCCCACATAAATATTCCATGAACCGCTGAGGATGTAATTGTGAGTGACAGCAGCATTCCCACACTGTGCCTTGTCCTCATGGTCCCTGCCATGGGCACAGTGTGATGCAGCACAGCCTGTGCTGGCTCCACGGGCTCGGCATCCCACAGCACGGCCAGGGGATGTGGCCCTGGCAGCCTGTTTGTCCCTTGTCCCCCGGCCGGGTGGCCAGAGCAGTAGCCAGCCCTGCGGCCATGCCGTGGGTCAGTGGGCAGTCCTGAGGCCATGCTACAGCTGCTGGCCGGGGATGGAGGTGGCAGCTCCCGCCTTGTCACCCGGTGTCGTGTCCCCGGCACGAGCCGACAGTGACATCTAGTGACACCAAATCACTGCCCAAAGCCCCGCACACGGAATCGTCCCGAATTCCCAGCCCTGCTCCCGCCGCCTGGCCAGCGACGAGCGGGGCTGAGCCGCGGCGCTGTGAATTAGTAAATACAACCAAACACGCGTTTCCGTGGACTTTAAGGCTTTGCAGACCCCCAAGCAGGAGGTAGCGAGGGCAGAATGGCCACAGTAGTGTATTTTGAAGGCTTTTTTGGGAAAAGTCGGGCCAGTTTTGGGTGCGCAGGACAGTGGGCGATGCCTCCTCACTCCCCCAGGGGAGACCTCAAGGTGAGGGGGGAACTTGTGCCTGACAGGGCTGTGACAGCTATTCCTCTACCATTAAATAATAATAACCGACTGGGGAGAGACAGCAAACTCCTGCACGATTTGGGGTGGCAGCGGCAGCGCCCCGGCCCCGTTTTGGGGTGATTTGGCGCTGTTTTGGGGTGTTTTGACGCTGTTTTGGGGTGTTTTGGCGCTGTTTTCAGACGCTGGCCGGGGGCTGTGGAGGGGGGTCCAAGATGGCCGCCTGCCCCGCGCCCCGCGGCTGAGGGGGGCGATGGCGAGCGCGGACCCCTGAGGGGCGCAGGGGGCGGAGGAGGAGGAGGAGGAAGAGGAGGAGGAGGAGGAGGAAGAGGAAGAGGCGCTGCCCGGCGGGTCAGGGCGGGGAAGTCGCCGCCCGAAGATGGCGGCCGCGGCGGGGCCACACGCCGGGGCTGCGGCGGAGGCGCGGTTCATCAGCAGCGCCAAGGTGAGCAGCCCGCGGTGTGCCCTCCGTGAGGGTCCCTCCCTTCCCTTCCCGCCCAGCCTGGGGGCACAGCGAGTAAAATCCCGCGGGGATGGAGGGAATGGAGGGATTCCCTCAGCTCAGCTCCCGGGTATGACTCGGCTCCGGGCGCGTCCCTGACCCGCGGTTGTCCCTCGCCAGGGAAAGGGCTTGTTCGCCACCAGAAACATCCGCAAAGGGGAAACAGTGTTCGTGGAGAGGCCGGTGGTGTCATCGCAGTTCCTCTGGAATGCCCTGTACAACTACAGAGGTGAGCGGCCGGCGCTGGTGGCGTGTCCCCATCCCTAGCACCTGTCCGGTGGGGTGACCGCGGGACCGCAGGGGTACCAAGGGAAGGGTTTGGGTTTGTCGTAGTGCCTCTGTAAAGGTGGTCCTGCTGCCTTTTATGCCTTTGCACTAAGCTGTTGACAAGTTCGGGTGTTGTCTGAGGGATGGTGACTTCCATCACTCTGGAGGAATGTGCTAGGTGCCCCCATAGAATCTTGGAATGGGTTGGGTTGGAAAGGACCTTAAAGATCATATTCCACTACTAGCATGGGCAGGGACATCTTGCCCTAACCCAGGTTGCTCCAAGCCCCATCCTGTTGTTCCTCTCTGGTGTTGGTACCAGTTGTGTTGCCTTGCCCTGGGTTCTGATCCCTTTGCTTTCCAAAGGCTTTCCTGTGGCATCCATCCCTCCATCCATGGGTCAGTCCGTCCATCCATCCCTCCATCCCTCCATCCCTCCATCCCTCCACCCACCCCTCCTGTCCCCACAGCCTGTGATCACTGCCTGCGGGCTCTGGAGACGGCGGAGGAGAACGCCCAGCGCCTGCTGGGGAAGAGCTCCCTGGTGCTGCCTCACCCGGAGCAGTGCAGCATCAGGAAGGACCTGCACCAGCAGTGTCCCCGCTGCCAGGTACGGCTCTGCCGGGAGGCACCGTGCTCTCCTTGGGATCCTTGACTCCTTCCCATCCAGCTGGGCTCTTGTGTTGTCTGCCTTTCCAGAGCCAGGGGTCTGCTGGTCAGGGAGGGGGCACAGATCTAGGAGCCCCCTTTCCTGCTGCCACAATGCCAGCGCTGTCCCCTCGCTCTAGGTGACGTACTGCAGTGCAGAGTGCAGGCAGGCAGCTCTGGAGCAGTACCACCAGGTCCTGTGCCTCGGCCCGTCCCGGGACGACCCCACACACCCCCTCAACAAGCTGCAGGAGGCATGGAGGTAGGGTCTGACCTGCCTGTGGCTCCATGGGCAAGGGAGGTGGCTCTCCTGGGTTGGCTCCTTGCTGTGCTGGAGGGTGGGGGTGGCCCTGGGACGCTGCCCAGCTCTTTCTCCTGGTGGGGTGTTGTGA